ACCATTGATCAAGAAAAGTCAATTTTAACCAATCTTTTTGGAGACTTAATGGCGAGGGTATGTATGACATATTTTGGCAATTGGCACCGGTCAATTGCTATCTTAAATGATAGAGTTGTAAGGGTTCTGAAACATCCGCATGCATGATAATAAAAATTAGGTTAGGAAAAATCCTACATAAGCTAGAATACAAAGTCATCAAGTGCAATGTTTTATACTAGTAATCCAGCCTAATTCAAGCTTTATAATGTCAATTTCAGACTGAAATTTACATAAAAATACTACTACAGGCAGTGGCGGAGCCAAAGTTTTTTCGAAGGAGGGGCATACTTAAGGCTAAGAATTTTGTGTATTTGCTCAAAATTTAATAATAAAAACAATAAAAGCTTAATACCATAGCACATATTAGATCATTACATACTGCTTGACTTATATCTATAATCTCGGTAGATCAATTATGCGAGTTTTAATGTGTTCAAAATGTTGTATAATAACTTTATGTTGGAAAAACACGACCCTAGCATTTTTCAAGATCACGAGCTCATAGACTCTTGTACACTTATATATCCATACACTCACAATACAAAGACTAGATCTGACGATATCACTTTGTATTATTCTCATTCACTTTTTGTATATGAGACTACTTCACTCTACCTAAGTTGATCACATACAATACATCAAACGATATCTTTGAGCCTTCTTTTCTCACAAGAAGACTTTCACTCTCCTCTTTCAAGGAGACTCTCACTTTCACTCGCTCAAGAGCTCTCCTCAAAATTCTCATATAAATGAGAAGCTTCTCTATAAATCTCATCAAAGTTTCTCTAGAATTTTTATACACCACTACACATCTAGATTCTTCCAAAAAGTATCCACAAGCTTCTCTTATCTTTTGGAAGGATTTAGAAAACCCCACAATTCTTCAAAATGTTCTAGAGGCTTCCACATGATTTTAGTGAGTTCCACATTTGTCTAAAAAAAATCTACATTATTATTCTAGAACACTCAACACTTCTCTACACACATATAAAGAATCTTGGATGCTCTAAAAAAATCTAAAATTCTCATGAATTTCTCCACTAAGGAGGGAATCCAACACAGTCTCAAGAATGTTTTGATGATATTTTTGTTACAAGAAATGTGACAACATATTTGTCAAACTCAACACTTTCTTGCTCACTATAACCACAAAAAGCTAACAAGTGTGTCATTTAATGTCTAAAACAATCCACACTTGCATTCAAATGTGTGTGGTATGCTACAGCCAATACTTGTATTCTTAGAGACATGTACTTTTCCTGAAAGACTTTGCCTTTTATTTTAACATTTAACCTAAAATTATCCTTAATAGTATTTATTTTTGAAAAAGGAGGGGCGTTAAATATATTATAGGTAGTAGTACTAAATAAATTTGCCCGAAGCGGGGGCGCTTGCCCCCTCATGCCCCTCCCTAGCTCCTCCACTGACTACAGGTCATATATATAACAATATGTTGATTAATGTTGGAGTGTGATATATAACGGTATAACCTAATGATTCAACATGACTAAGTTGAATTTATTTCCATAAACTGAAAGAAAAGAAGCCAGGTTGGTTTGTGATTACGTTTGAATACATATAATTGTTTATTAAAAGCTCTACAATCTGACCAAACAAACTTACTCGCACACTAAAACAACCTCATCTAAAATAAACTTAGAAGCCAACTCTCTAAACAAAAATATTGCTGCTACATCTTAGATATTATGATACACAAAAGTATTTCAATAAAGAAAAGAAACCAGAATGTGAAATATATTTATAAGCTCAAAATAATTAACAAGACGAACTTTGAACTCCACCAATTTGAAACTCGAGATACAGCAGATACGTAAATATGAACTCTGTAAGGATCGTATCTGTCTCCGGCTCAGGTCTATTCCACACACACTCTCACACACCACACTAGGAGGAAGCTATAGCACACTAATATTTGACTCTTCACTAAGGACCTATCTATTCTCACACAAAGGAGGAAGAAAGGGAGCTCTGCTCTCTGGAATACACTCACGCAGGCTACTCAACAAGGGAGGAAGCAGAGGATACAAATAGGCTGCCAAAGGGAGTCACGGGTGAGGCTTGACAAAAGACACTCACATGCAACTTAGACAAAGGAGAGTCACATGTATAGGCCAAGATAAAGATGGATGCAGCGGACATCACACAAAGGGGCCAGCCAAGTGGGTAAGTCAACCACTCAAATAGGTATATATTTGATCAGGATATATACCAAAGAAATAGGTATCCAAGAGAGAGTAAAATAGAGTGTGCAAGCCTCAACAAATGAAGTGGAAGGGAGGCCTTGGTAGGACCAATACCTCCAACAAACTCGGTATTCAATTTACACTTAATACGTTTCGAAGCAGTTGGTCTCGTATTGGGTTTCGAACTGGGTTTCGAACTCGGTATTCAATAACTACATTACTGAATACGTTTCTTATGTTATAAAATGAATTATGTAACCGAGCACTCCAGTCTGCTGGGTGCAAGGTTACGTACCTTGCCTAGCATTTGGTCTCGGGTTCGAAACCCGCTAGGCACTAGGGAGAGGAGAGAGGTCTTGCTCCCAATGATTCTTCCTACCTTTACGACGGAGTTGCTCAGCGGGCAAGAAGGGAGAGGATGATAATGAAGGTCACGGGTTCGTGTGGTGGGAAGAGGAGCCTAGAAAACAGGCGACGTAAGTCCTGCTGAATTCGTCATTTAGGAGCCACTGCCGATGAGGCTGACTGTAATCAGATCCGGACTTAATTGTCTAGAGGCTTTGAAGGATGGTTCATACTTCATAGACTCCAAGATTATGAGAGCGTAAGCCTGACACCTGGATTATCAAGAAAAAAAATGAATTACGTACATTAGTGTCTAAATCAATTGAGTTAAGTGGGTCGTAATTGGACTATTTTATAACATTCAAAGTACAAGTTAAGTATAACTGTATAACACTGCTATATTTCGTATCAAGTAATTATTACTAGTATTAGTTTCATTTTGTGGTTCTGCTATCTCTCCTTGCGTCGATGGGCATTATCAAATACATTGACACTTGGACTTGGATATGTTGTTGTGAAGATACAATTAAGATATTTTTTGTTATGAAAAAACATATCCTATGTATCTTTGTACACCGAAAACTATGTGGATTACAAATATTTTCATATTTAATTGTGTAGACAACAAAAGACATTAGGATAGCTGGATAAGTTGTCAAAAAAGCATAGAATTTAAATAAAAAATACACACAAAAGGCCCTTTAATAGTTTTTAAACGAACAATTTTAATTTTTAAACAAGAACATATAGAGGGATTGTTTTTAATTTTTAAACAAGAACACCCCACGAGAACACCATTTTATAGGGAATCTGTCTGAAGCCGGCAGAACACCCCATGAGGGGTTTTGTCCGAAGCCACCAGAACACCATACCGAGGTGTTCTGTCGAGGCCTTCTGTCCGGAGCATTTCTGCCGCTAGCCAATTCTATCACTGGGAAAAAATAAACGTTTCGGGAAGAGATAGATTTTTGGACAACATTCATGTCCGCAAATCGCCCGCGCACACAAGTTGCAGTTTTTCTCTCCGATTTCGGTATTTGATTTGCACCGCCCTGCGCGTGTGAGAGAGTCTTTCACCTTAGGAATCTTAACTCCTTAAGAGGAGAGTCCCTTTATAAAGGGTTGCGAATCCCTTGGGTTTTCCGGTGTGGGAAATAACAAACTACAAACTATCCTTTTCCCCAATTTTTCCATTCTAACGGGTAAACTTCGAGAATCAATTTCTCATTCACCCGTTATCCGTTTTGAGCGTACCATATATCGAATTGTAGCCCTAAACAAGGCCAATCCGAAACCACTTTGACCCAACCCAAATCGGAAGTGGACCCACTCAAAAAATTGCCCCAAAATGACCATTTAATGCAATTTCAACACATTTTTTCAACAGATAGTGTTTGAGAAAAAACTGATTTTGAAAAGTAAAAGTTGATAGTGTTTGGTAAAATAAGTGCTTTTGTGTAATAGAAAAAGTAGAAGCACTTTTGACACGAAAACCGAGAAAAATAAAAGTTGTAGTGTTTGATAAAATAAGTGTTTTTTAAAGCCAAAAGCTGAGAAGTGCTTTTTTAAGCATTTGCAAACCAACCCTAAATATTAATAGATGATAGAACCAACCAACCTGAAATGCTGCAACCTTCAACGTTTCCAACCATCCAATTTTTTCGACTGCTTGGGATGAAGAAGCCAATTCAAGAAGCTATTTACCAAACAAACATGTTATTTAGCTGGTCAATTGGTTAAAGAAGCTAAACTCAGTCAAACCAGCCAAAAATGGTTGATAAGCCATTTACCAAACATTTACTAACAACAAGCTAACAGAACCAGCTATTGTCAATCAGCTGTCATTACCAGCTAAAAGCTAACAGCTGATTGCCAAAGCTGATGTGCGTGAAGTGTTTTAAGTGTCATTTAGAGTTCTCTAATAAACTGCTCTCCAGGTAAACCTAACAGCTATTCTCGTAGCTAAAACGGTATAACGCGCGTATAAAATCGCCACACATGTCATATATACATCAGTGCGGTGATTTTATAAGACATGTCATAACATATGAGAAATAAACAGCATACAAGGTCGATCCTAGGGCAGCAGGGGCGACTGCCCTAGGCCCGAAAAAAAGTAGAAAGAAAATTAGGCCCGAGTTTTTTCTTTATATGTAATTTGTGTAGGCTTCTTTTTATTTATAACTTCAATTAATTAATCAGGCCTAATGCATAATTTTTGTTGACAATTTGAAAATTTAAAACATAACTAAGAAGTCATGAACAGAGCTAGACAAGTTTTTAAAAGAATACAAATTTAATTTCTATTTTTTATAGAGATTGGTGTAAGTCAGCACATTTGTTGTATTTATCTAAACTGGGCCCACATATGCTTTCCGACATTCTGTCCAATAAACTACACAAAACATCAAAACTATAACAATCCTTTCCATTCTGCAAACCCTTCAAAAGCACATTATAGGTTCTATAATTTGGTTGGCACCCACTATGAATCATCTTGGAGAAAAGTAAGAACGCATGATCTAACCCACCCAAAGCTACATATCCATCAATTAAAGAGGTATAAGTTACATGATCAGGAACCAATCCCTTCATCTCCATTTCTTTGAGTAGAATCTCTGCTTCGTATGCCTGCCCTTTGAGGCATAAACCGTGGATGAGCGAACTATAAGTAAACAAGTTGGGCGGGCAATTCCTATTTTCCATTTCTCTGAATATCTTAAATGCATTTACAGTATCGCCGTTCTTACACAGCCCATCAATCAATGTTGTGTAAGTAATGACACTGGGGACCATACCACTCTCAGCTAATTTATTGCACATTATTTCTGCTTCGGTTGTAAAAATGCCTCTTGGAAACCCAATAGAAGAACTGCACAGTTATGTCAGTGTCGTTATGGATTTCAATGACCCTTGCGACATGGTGGGGTCTTAGCTTAGGGCTCAAAGAGTTCGCTCCGCGCTCCGTTTCCGCCGATTTGATGAAATTTCACAGACCTTATAGACCAAGTGCGATTGAGAGTTTTTACTGTGTTCTTGATTGCTATGAAGCTGAATCACGGGTTTCGAAGAAAAATAACGACATCCCGTGCAGAACGAGTGAAGGTTACTATTATTGGTCAGGCGGCGATGAATCAGAGAATGAAGAGACTTGAGTCTGGGGGGGTTTACCATTTCGCGCGGTTCCTCAAGTGGGAGCTGTTCTTGGATCGCCGGGGATCAGGAGAAGTGTAAGGGCGGGTGAACGTGGCCATGGCGAGACCACGCAGAGAGGAATCAGACTGCGTGGATGCAGGAAACCATGAAAGATGCAGACAGGGGAGGATCTATGTACAGGCTATGGTAGGCTGAAGCCCAGGGCAACTTAGAAATTTTTCAATTTTTTTAGTGTAAATTTTTTCATTTTTTACAATTAGCCCACCCCGCTGATATTTGAGCCTAGTATAATTCCTATTCAGCCCAGGGCGTCTCGGATTCCTGGATCCGCCCCTGGATGCAGACCCGGTACAGCTTGACGGGTTGGGCAAGTATCCGGAGTTTTGGACATCCAAGGGCTAGGCCGGCACCTGTTTGAAATGTGGTAGCCCCTCTAACTATGGGTAGTGCTGGACTCGGGCCGGGCGGCCCGAACCGGAACCGGCCCGGCCCGGTTACTGTGTGAACCGGCCCGGCCCGGTGGCCCGGTCCACCAGCGGTTCGGGTCGAACCGGCCCGGTGGATACCGGTTCCGGGCCCTCTATTTGGTGAACCGGCCCGGCCGGTTCGGGCCCGGTCCGGGCCGGAATAATTTTTTTTTTAATTTTTTTTTTGATTTTTTTTTTAATTTTTGGGTTGGATTAGGTATTTTGGGCATTTGAGGTGGTTTGGGGTGGTTTGGGGTTGAGGGGGAGGGGTAGGGGGTTAAATAAGAGAAGCCAAAAAATCAAAAAAAAAAAATGGGGCGGGTGAATCGGCCCGGAACCGGTCACCTGCCGGTTCGGGCCCGGGCCCTCCTTTTGGTGAACCGAGGCCCGGCCGGTTCAAGGCCCAACCGGGCCCGGCCCGAACCGAGTCCAGCCCTAACTATGGGTGGGCAATTCAGTTTACGATTCAGTTTTCGGTTTTGGTTTATTCGGGTTGAGAGAATTTGTATCGAACTAAAATCATTTATGTTGCTGATTGATTTTGGTTCGGTTCAGTTTGAAGTTCGGTTTAGCAAAGTAAAAAAAAATATGTTTAATTTAGTTTGATTTGATTCGTTTGCTTATGTTTATTGTTTGGTTTTTATCAGTTTCGGTTCGGTTTAATACAGTTTGAAAGAAATAGTATCAAATTCAAACCAAATTGCATACGGTCCGGTTTCAATTCAGTTTGGTACGGTTCAGTTAAACCAAACCGTTATGCCCTTCCCTAGCTCTAATCATACAAGACGGGCAGCGTAATGTGGCATGAGAAATAAACTTTTATTGTCCCGGAATAAACCACATGTGGTTGCGGGAGTGTCGAGGGAACACTATCCAAATTTATTAATAATAACAATAAGGAAGTTACAAGAGATTAAAGAAACAACTCAGAGAAGGAAAGATGAAAAAAATTCAAAAATAGTAAAAGCAACTGTTGTTTAGCATTCGAATTTTTTTGAAGGTATCTCGAAGCTGAAATAGATCTGTTATATAGGTTATAGAACTGAATTGCCTTTCGGAGATATGGTCAGTATATTTTTTTGCTTCTGGGTGATCGAGGAGACCAGAATCGCGTTAGTGCCATAGCAAGTTTGTGTGGAGAGGAGTCCAACCTTTGATCAACATGGTAAATGTAATAGTCGCCTTCGTTTTGCGGGTGTCTGGATTGGCTTTTTGTGACGGTAGGATGTGGTGTATATCCCACCTCCTAGAGTAGTGGTCTTTTTTCAAGAATTCTGTTTGGGATTTATATAATTTTGGTAATTGTTTTTCAATAGTGTTAATCACATCTAAGCTTTTGTTTTATATGTTGTGAAGAAAAACATACAATGGATATAAGACCATTTAAATAAAAATGCTCTTACTAATTCACACATCAATCTCCGATTCACAATGTCAAACATAGCTTTAGAGCAATATCAATTGAAATCCATTAAGCTGAAATATAAAAATTTAATTAAAAGGTGACAGTTAAAAGGTAAATGCGTGTTTCAACCAACTGACCCAAGTATAAAAAGTTGATGCCCTTTTATGGCAGAAAGAAAACATTTGGTGCCGGTTAAGAATGCTAAGTGTTGAGGGTTTCAAGAGATGTCTTATTCCATGATTAGAGGAGTATTTAAATACAAAGAGGTTGGGCCTATTAGGGTTTACAAGGAGTTTAATATATACCCAATAAGCCAAAAGAATATTACAAATAATTAAAAAAATACTTTCCCTTAATACCCCCGGCAAGCTCATGGAGATTGAGCAACATGGAGCTTGGGACGAAGAGAAGTAAAGCGAGAATTTCCAACAGCTTTTGTGAAGATGTCAGCAATCTGGTCCAGGGCAGGAACATGACGAACAATAAGAGATCCATCCGCAACTTCTTCTCGAACGAAGTGATAGTCAATTTTTATATGTTTGGAGCGTTGATGGAACACAGGATTGGCAACCATGTAGGTGGCACTAAGATTATCACATAGGAGAATGGGTGGGATGTGCAATGGAGCCTGTAATTCCTGCAAAAGCTGTTGAATCCAAATGAGTTCAGTGGATGTGAATGCAATGGCTCTATATTTAGCCTCTGTAATGGCTCTATATATAGAGAGAGAGGGTCATTTCAGCCTGAACTTCATAAATATCAGCAGAAACAGCCGATTCAGCTGACGTCGGTGTTCCAAACGAGCTCTCATTCATACATGTACCTGCATTAGAACAGTGTGATGGATTCATTAACCTACTTGGAGGTAAACTTTCAACTTATAAGTGTTGTTTAGTCTATTGGATTTTGGTGAAGATTTGTATTTGTTTAGTTTTAATTTGGGGTGGTTTGTTGGTAAAATATAATTGGAGTGTCTAATGGAGTAGATGTGATTTATTTAATTACATCTCATTAGGTTTAAATTCGTTAAACCTTTTTAGCAAAGAAGTTCTAGCCTCGATTCAAGTGTTACTGATGAAGTTCTATTTAAATTAACAGCTCTAATAAGTTTGGGTCAAATTACCAAACTTTTACAACTTTTTCTTTTTTAGAATCTCGATTTAAAATTGCGATCCAAATCCTTACTCACGGAGTCACGGTATATGATAATGCGATTTTTAATCCCAATTTTATAAAAGCCTGACTTTCAAACTCACGTCAAAAAAATAAAAACTCGTTTGCAAATTTTATCATTGAATGCTTTATAGTATTGGCCACGTATTTGAAATCAAATGAACTATAATGACGGATCTGGATTCAAGTGTGATAGTTGTCTTGATGTGTATTATCTTCATGCAGAAGAATCTTACAACATATTCTCTCAGTCCTTAAATAAAAATCTATCCTTCCTTTTCGGATCATCCCTAAATAAAAAGTTTCATTTCTTTTATAAGCAAACAAAATCAGGGCAAAACAATGTCCAAATGGTTAGAGCTCTGACCTTAATAATAGCAGTAGTCATGGACTCGGGTCGGGCCACCCGGCCCGGAACCGTCCCGGAACCAGTACTGTATGGGCCCGGCCCGGCACCCGGTCATAGGACCGGTGCGGGCCACCCGAACCGGGAGTTAAACGGGGCGGGCTGGGGCCTCCTAAAAGTGGAACCGGCCCGGCCTATATCTTTTTTTCTGTTTTATTTTTTTTTATTTTTTTTGGTTTCTCCCGGGTTGGTCTGGGTGTTTTGGGGGGGGGGGGGTCGGGGGTTAATTAGAAAAAGCAAAAGAAAATTAAAAAAAATAACAAGAACCGGCCCGCCGAGGCCAGACCCGACCGAGGCCCGGCCCGGCCCGGAACCGTTGCCTACTTGGCCGGTTCCGGTTCTTCCTTCTAAAAAAAACCTAGCCGGGCCCAAGTCTGAACCGGAACCGGCCCGGGTCCATGACTAAATAGCAGTCATCTTTAATTTTTTAGAAAGGTGTGCATAATGGATAATTTGAAACCCGAGTGCTTCTCTCATATGTTGTGTCGTGTATGTGGCGATAATATATTGAACTTTTATGCTATCTTCTCAAGCAATGTGTAACCATAATTATCAATCTATTTGCTTTGAATTCGAAGACCCAGCAGTAGTAAGTACATTCATTTATCTTGTTCACAGGTGCCAATAAAGTTATCAATTTCCTTGGGACCATACTTATTTAATTGACCACTTTTTGAGCAAGTGAATATCTATTTTGATATGATGTAAATTACACGTAATTTATAAATTATAATGACTTGTACAGTGTGCAAAACGCTATGGTATTTGTGATACAAGTTAATTCTATTGAAGAATGGACCTTGTATATTTCAATCTGTGGAGCTAATGAATAATGAAGAATTTAGCTCGAACTGGATTGATTAATGGAGGATGAGAATAAAATGAGAGAAGAAGACATGAGGGAAGAAGAAGCTTTGTATTCATCGTGTTCTTATTACAAGCCAGGAGTCCTTATTTATACAAGTTTCAGTTTACAATACTAACTGATAACAACCACCAACAGTTTTATTCTAACTAACTTCTTTTCTTAATCTGGAATTAGTTTCTATACTATATCAGAACTCCCTTGCTCAACATCTTTGTCCTCAAAGATGAAATTCAGGAAATTGCTGCCTGAAGTCTTGTGCAAACATCCAAGAAGCATCTTCTAAGGGCAATCCTTGCCATTTAATGAGAAGTTCAACAGTAGCAGCATTTTTTCTTTTCACCATTCTTCTTTCTAATATTGCTTCAGGCACTTTTGGTAGGCTTGAATCATGAAAAAATGTGGGTAAATGCGCAGCTGTAGATGTAGGATCATGACATTTTTTAAGCTGACTCACATGAAAAACGTTATGAATTTGAGAACTTGCTGGCAAAGCTAGTTTATAGGCCACTTTTCCAATAGTATCAATGACTTGAAAAGGACCATAAAACTTAGGTGCTAATTTCTGATTTGGGCGAACAACCACCGATGATTGTCTGCAATACTGAAGCTTCAAATATACCCAATCTGAAATTTGAAACACCCTATCTGATCTGTGTTTATCAGCCTGTTGTTTCATCCTGTTTTGAGCTTTCTGCAACTGAAATTGTAATTCTTTCATCATCTTTTCTCTTTGAACCAAGCTTCTATCCACTGCAGCATTCTGGGATTCACCTGGTAAGTATGGTAAATGCAAAGGAGGAACTTGACCATATAAAATTTCATAAGGAGTACACTTGGTAGCAGTGTGGAATGAAGTAATATACCACCATTCTGCTAAGGCTAGCCATTTACTCCAAGATACCGGATGAGCATTACACATACACCTCAAATATGTTTCTAAGCACCTATTGACCACTTCAGTTTGGCCATCAGTTTGTGGATGATAGGCTGTAGATTTCAAAAGCTCAACTCCCTGTAATTTGAAAAGCTCTGTCCAAAATCCACTTAGAAAAATGGAATCTCTATCAGTGACAATGGAATCTGGTAACCCATGAAGCTTATACACATGATCCATGTATAGTTGGGCTACATCTATGGCAGAAAAAGGGTGTGATAAAGGTAAGAAGTGAGCTGCTTTGCTGAGTCTATCTACCACCACCAAGATAACTTCCTTTCCAAAAGATTTAGGGAGACCCTCTATAAAATCCATAGATATGGCAGACCATACCCTTATAGGAATAGGTAAAGGCTGTAAGAGTCCTGGATAGCTTGACTGATCATACTTGCATCTTTGACAAATGTCACAAGCTCTAATGTATCTCTGCACATCCTTGAACATACCACTCCAATAAAATAGATTTTTTCAGTCTTTGGATGGTAGCATCTCTACATGAATGACCACCAATAGCAGAATTATGAGCCCAATGTAATAGTTGTTTCTTAAGTTCCATGTCTGCCCCCACAACTAACTTCCTTTTTCTCCTGAGCTCATCATTGGTCCAGCTGTAATGAATATGAGAAGCTGGATTAACTGTTAAATCTGATATTATCTTCTTCACATCAGTATCTGCATCCCAAGACTTTTTTATTTGTTGTAACATGTCCACTGCAATCTGATTTAAAATCATATGCATTATCTTAGAATCACAAATCCCTTCTTTTCTTGATAGAGCATC